TTTCTCCTACCCAGACCTATCCTCTTATTATCACACGTGAGTTCAACTCTTATCAACGAGACACTGACCTACGAAGAGCTCTCCGCTCTCTTCTATCGTCACAAAGTGCACGGTGACCGTTAAATTAGTAGACGAAGACGGAATTCTATTGGACGAGGAGTCTCAGTCGAGTCTGATGGGACCACAAGGTACACAGACCTCCATGATATTACCACACTTTCGTACACCTGCCATGTCTTTGAAGGTAATCATTTGCACTGCGTGGGTCACGATTCTGATTAAATCAGGTAGGCAGGCAACTGGAACCGATCAGAGCCGCTCTCTGCTTCTTCATCGATTACCACACGAAAGAGGGAGAGCTAGGGAGGGCGGTTGTCTTGTCTGATGTCGTTCACTTCATTCGGGACAGAAGAAGCCCCACTAGGGTTTGTAAGGTCGCCAAGTGATAGACTTCACACTCGTACTCGATTACTTTTTCACGTCACGACCATCGATGGAGAGCTGACACGAAGTGTCTTTGTGGTATAATAATAGAATAGATGTGTTTATTGTTGTATCGTATTTATTATTCTCTCGTTACGTCTACGCTAAGGACACTGAGGTGGAAGGAAATGGAATCAGGGTAGAGCACACAGAAGAGGTGACGATGCAACCGATAAGATATAACTTAAGGTTCTGATACGTAGGGGTGGTCTGCACGGCGACGTAGCGGATATAAGTGTGTAGCTCTCGCATTTGGACCGTTGTTTGCAGCTGTCACTCTGCTTACGTAAAACGGATGACGCGTTCGGTTTGGAAAATTCGGATCACAAACGAAAGAGACTCAATCGAACATGAGCGATCACCAGTGAGTCAGCGATATAGAGTCATTGTGGCTCAATTCATGTATCTCAGATTCAAGACGAAACTTTACATCGATGGAAAATGGGTCGAGCCGGTGAATGGAGGCAAGTCCATCCCCGTGATTAACCCCTCCAATGAGCAAGTAATCATTCACGTAATGGGTGGAACTGAAGAAGATGTAAATCGTGCCGTAGCTGCCGCTCGAAAGGCATTCGAGGTCCAATCTGGGTGAACCATTTTTCTCCTCCTCTTCTTCTCATTTCTCTCCAGACCCAATGCTTGGTCCACTCTGGATGGAAAAGATCGTGCTAAATTTCTGAGAGCCATCTCCAAGGGAGTCGCAGACAAGAAGGAGCTCTTGGCTCGTCTGGAGGCCACCGATTGTGGTAAGCCACATCGTGAAGCCGAACTCGACTTAGACGATGTCGCCGGCTGCTTCGACTACTGTGAGATCACCCATTCCCATCTGAATCATCTACCATCATTTAAATCGAACAACACATCCATCTGCCTCTTCAAGTCAATGCGATGACGTCAATTGCAGATGCCGGGTTGGCCGAGAAGATCGATGAGAGACAAGACAATGGCATCAAGATCGCAGATGATCGCTTCAAGTCCACCGTCCAATACGCACCAGTGGGTGTCGTAGGTGCAATCATTCCTTGGAATTACGTGAGACCAAAAAACGACGGGAGAGGGAATTGAAATCGATCCAGCCTCTGTTGATGGCCGCTTGGAAGATCGCCCCTGCCCTGGCCGCAGGCTGTACCGTCGTGCTGAAGGTGAAGTACTTTTCTCCCTCCTATGTTCTTTGATCATGATGGTGCCGATGATGCATGTCATGCGATTTGTACTCACCTGGCTCAGCCCTCTGAAGTAACACCCATCACTGCCCTCGAGTTCGCTCAGATCGTCCACGATGCCGGAGTACCTCCTGGTGTTTTCAACGTTGTAAATGGTTACGGAGCAGGTGCATCATCCATCCAGCATCCATCATCCGTCATCCGTCATCCATCATCCATCATCCGTCATCCATCATCAGTGTCATCCATCACCCATGCATCCTCCTCCTCCTCCATTATCAGTGCATCATCCGTCCATCTCGCACGTGTCATCCATCTGATGCACATGATCAGATGTGGGAGGACCTCTATCGAGACACCCCGAGGTAGACAAAGTGGCCTTCACCGGTAGCGTCGCCACCGGCAGCACCGTGATGAGAGAAGCTTCTGCCACCATCAAGAACGTCACCTTGGAGTTGGGCGGGAAATCTCCCATTGTCGTTTTCAACGTGAAGTGAATTCCTGCAAGAGACGAATTGACACGAGCAGGATGCAGACATCACGGACGCCGTGGAGTGGATCATGTTTGGCATCTTCTGGACGAACGGGCAGATCTGCAGCGCGACATCGAGACTTCTCGTGCAAGAGGAAATCGCAGACAGATTGCTGGAAAGGCTAGTGGAGGAGACGAAGAAGGTGATTGTAGATGGAAGATTCGAGGAAATTGAGTGGGGTAGATTCACGTTGGAGATCCATTCAGCAAGGAAGACCCTTCCATCGGCCCTCTCGTGAATGAAATCCAACACAAGAAGGTGAGAAGACATTCATCATCTTCATCATCGATCACATGGACATTCGATCGATCACGCATCACGATCCGATCCACGATCACGCGTTCCATCTCGCGATCGTCACGACACGATCTCCTCGTGCATCATCGCTCATCGTCTTAAAAGGTACTAAAGTACATCGACACCGCGAAGAAGGAGGGAGGCAAGATCCTCACTGGGGGTAAGAGACCGAACCATCTGACCAGCGGCTACTTCATAGAGCCAACCGTCATCGTCGATGTGAAAGAGAACCACACCGTTTGGCGGGAAGAAATATTTGGGCCCGTCCTATCCGTGCGTCCCAAATCAAATGTTTAAAACCTTTTCGGCTCATTTTATTCAGGTCATGCGGTTCAGAACGGAAGAAGAGGCCATTCGCCTGGCGAACGATTCTTCGTTTGGATTGGCCGCCAGCATCTTGTCAAAGGATGAAGAGAGGAACAAGAGGTTCGTCAAGGCATTCAGAGCTGGAATCGTCTGGGTCAACTGTTCTCAGGTGGGTCATCCATCATCTCGATGCGATGATCGTGATGTCGTTGTCATGATCACGTGTGATCGTTCTTCATGCATCCATCATGTCGTGTGATCCATTGATGATGATGATGATGAGAGACTGAGATAGAACAGCCTGCATTCTATCAATGTCCATGGGGAGGAATGAAGCAGAGTGGAATAGGAAGGGAGTTGGGAACGTATGGATTAGACAACTACCTCGAAGTGAAGCAGGTGACCACCTACCAAGTGAAGGAGAGTGGAAAATGGGGCTGGTACATCAAGAGCAAGATGTGAAGGAGATAAATGTTGTACATTGTGACTGATCGTTGAAAGAGAGGACAAGTGAGGAGGTTCCATACATAAATGTTGGTGTCGTGATGGGTTCTACTTCTATGTGTCTCCTGTATCATCGGTGCATCGAACGTGCCGGAATGCAGACATCCATTGTTCGATGGTCGAACAATGTCGATCGTGTCAAGATGTTGGGCTTGTCTCACGATTCGAAGAGGGGGGCATCACTGATGATAGGTCACAGATGAACGATTTACGACAAAATTTGTCTTCAATCGGCAAGACATTGATCACGATTGCTATATAGAATCGAATGGCAGTGAAGGATGTCTTTGCGAACAGCTGTAAGATTCTAAGGAATTCAGAACCATACAGAGCTACATAAAATGAACATCAAAGGTTGACAAAATTCAACTCAAGTAGAACACGAATATCGGTCGAAGAAGGCCAATCACGAGATCCAGACCCCACCTCCGATCGTTCTTGATTGTGACGAAATCACAATACAGATCAACTGATGATCTTTAACTGGTGTCGTAACTCGAGTAGACAAGTGCTTCATTGAGTTGATAGTCGCACTCTATGTCGAGGAGCCATCAACCTCCAGCATGGTTTGTAGACGTTCGAAAGCAACAAGGAGACTTGGAGTGGACCACGTGACCAAAGAATTCTCTCATCGCGGTATCCATCCGTGCAGCCACGTTAAGCTGACGAGAAGGAGAAATTTGCGAGAAAATGCGCAATTTGAGCACCGGCAATCCATTTTCAGCTCAGCACACAAAGCAGCAAGCCAACAACAGCTTCACTCGTACAACTTCGATGCCACAACCTCACATGGATCTCCACTACTGAGACACGAGTCGCAACGACTGGACTGCAACATTCCACTCCACAAGCTCTCTTCTGATCAGCAACACCTGAGCCCCCAAAGAACAACATCTGAGCTCACGACCTCTTTGGCCTCTCACTGGAACCCTTCGAGAGTCGTCCTCTTTACCTTCCCCACCGACTGAGACATGATCTACCCCGGCATCTTTCACATGGCCTCAACACAGTCAAGTCGACCCTCCTTTTCGCACGCACAAGAAGACAAGAACGTGTCCACAGCCACTTCCAACGACCTTCTCAAACGACAGTGTTCACAAAGTAGCTTCTGCTCTCCTTTCGAGGATGAACACAGACTGTTGTCCCTGAGCTGGCGCTGTGAGGTGACGTTGCTGCTACCATCAGTCAGACCGACAAACGAACGAAGATGTACGGCCAGTATTGCCTTCGGGCAGAAAACTGTATGTCTTCGGGTCGACCGCACAGAAGATGATACACGAAAGTGTTTGATTCTGGCCAGAGTGGAGACACCCTTCGAGGGTCTCTACGAGGAAGGCAGGCGAGAGTCTGACGAGGCTGTGGTGTACGGAGTATGGCCGTACCCAGCCCAGGTAGAGTGGCGGCGTTCCTTCTTCTTCTGTTTACGAGGCTGTGGGTCACTGACTGTTTGCAGCTACAATGATAGTGAATAAAATGGAACTGTATGGGAGAAGTTTGTTGTTGTTGTTCTCTCCTTAGCTGTTGTTCTGTTCGTTTGTTCTTTCTCAACTCAACATTACCATCAACATTGACTGAGGTCTCAAACTTCGATGACGTGGAGGGAGATCTCTCGATTGCCTGAAGTGTACGAGAACTCTATCGACGTTCGATCCATCGTGCTGGTCTGAAGCTGTTGTCGAATGGCAAAAAGAGATCAGAAAGAAAGTACAAAAAGTCCCAACACCCGGACTCGAACCAGGAACCTATAGATTACAGTGACCGCTACAGTCTACCGCGCTACCAATTGCGCCATGTCGGGTTGTGTTTGCTCGCTGCATTTTGTGAACATGTATGTGTACAGATTTTATCTATGAGATGTTATTAAAATGGATCCATAACGACACACAAGAAGAGTTCATCAGTGGACACAGTGGATCATCCGACATCTATACACCGTTATTAGACAGCTCAGCCAGCTCCATTCGGTTCCTATCCATAAACTTGGCGTGTCTCTGATAGACGAGGCAGGACACGATGGCCGCGATGAGCCCCACGGCAAATCCCAGGATCAGCATTCCAACTGCCAGTCCTGTTCCTGTCTCCGTCTTCACCAATTGAATGATCGCAGCCGCGTTAGATTCTATCACAAATCAATTCGATCGTCTACAACGAGCCATTCTCACTGCACTGAGAGGGCACGTCGAACCACATGTCTAAAGGCTTCTTCGCGACGAAATTGACAAACTCGTAATAGTGTTGGACGAGATAGACGGTGCCGTTGCTGTAAGTCCGCGTGGCATCCATGATGGCCCTGTATCATGATCGTCGGCCATCTGATATGGAAGATGAACATGTTCACCTCATGGGCTTGGCGTCGGTGTCGTTGACACCTCTGAATCCCCATGAAGGTTGAGTGAAGCAGTAAGTCAGGTTGACGTGATGCAATGTGAGATCGGACGTCCGATTCTCGGTGTAATCACTGCTGGACAACCAGCAATCACAGGGCACACCCCTGACGCTCATCACACCTGAAGAAGGAAGGTCAGACGATCGACATCGATGGAACACGTAGACATGCAAGTGATGGACGTACCCGTATATGTCTGTGTGGAATTGGGAGAGAATCGTAACAGGGATTCGACGGGTTGGCCGCCTCCGGGTAATGTGAGATCGTTGGGAGAGTTGATGTCTGCCGTGACGCAGTCTTTACCATTGGTCACGGTGTACTGCTTCTTCTATTTCGATTCGATCAGGATGGAATGCAGATGATGTGACGATGTGTGATGGACGAGTTTGGAGAGATGTTCTATAACATGTGAAGAAGAGTCACTGACCAGATTGTAATCTTCGACGATGATGGTATCGGCATCGGACGAGATGAACTCGTATCGAGCCTTCTTTCCTCCAAAATCATACCACTCATTCAGACTCAACGTGAGGTTTCTCTGCAAAATGTTCGCTTCTAAACTGCATGAGAATTCTTGGGGAAGCGAAGGAGGTGATGGAGGGGACTCAGATCTGCCATCCATCAGGTTCTATGTTACGAAAGATGAAGATACGTACTGTTGTGAGAGAGACAAAGAGAGGGAGAATAGTAATATGGCGATCGTCAAGCCCATTCGGTTCATGTTGTCGATCAGGGAACTAAACCTTGAACCGGGAAAAAAACCAATAAATATCCATTGATTATTCGTTCTGCGTCCCGCCGAGCATGCATGCAGCGTACATCAGACCACTGATCGATGTACTTGAAAGAATTGGCAGACAAAATAGTCTATCATCCGACAGATGCAGACGATGACACTGCTTGCAATGATGTTTCGTGTTGGATGACCTGCAAGTAAGAACCTCTCCGTCAATGGACCTTCACGAGTCGACTGTGTCTCATCGTCTCTTCCTCTCATCACAGTGTAATCCATCATCTCATCTGATGGAGACCTATACTCTTAACGTTTATTACACCCTACTTGTCCACCTGCTTCCATATCTTGATCGTCTTGTCAAGCGCTTGAGCTCCACTCGCGATGATGTTGTGTGTCGGGTGACATGCGATCGTCAGCACGCTATCCTTGTGTCCTTCCAGTCTCTGCACCACCTCTCGTGTCTGCCGCCATCTTTAGAACATGCGATACACGATGATGATGCATGATGCATGATGCAATGATGCGATGGCACACGTTCTCACCTGCAAATTCCAAATGTAAATCATATTGTCTTCAGATCCAGAGACGATCCATTTCCCGGCCGTAACTGAGAAAGAAGAGAATACGCAGTATTTTTCGTTCCTGTGTCCGGTATATGTCTTCAGGCACCTACCAGAGTGGGCGTCCCACAGCCTCAGGACATTATCCAGTGTGGCAACGAGGATGTACTTTCCGTTGGGTGAGAATTTGACAAAGGAACTGGATGGGTCAGGAGGGGAGAGGTGACGGTGTGTCACACTCACACTGGAGAGTTGTCGTCGTCCATGAGGGTCTTTAGACACTGCCCCGTGGATGTATCCCAAATGCGGCTGTTCATCGTGTCAGGATGATGATGATCGCGATGATGATCATGACGGTGATGAAAGAGGAGGAGAGAAGGAGAAGAGGTCTCACCAGAGACCATCGAAACTGGATGACACGATGAGAGTTCCATCACGATTGAAGTGAACTGCGGTGACGGGCTCGGCATGAGCCGGAAGGACCTTGAGGCATTTTCCCGTCTTCACGTCCCAGATGCGAACGGTCTCGTCGAATGAACCACTGACGATGAGGTGAGATTGAGGATTGAAATTGACGCAGAAGACGTAATTGGTGTGTCCCTTCAGTGTCTTTAACATCTCGCTCTGCGTATGAGGTTAGATGCATTGCATGATGGATGACATATCAGATGGTGTAAATGGTGCTTTGTGATGAATGGAGATGATTTGAGAGAGGAATTACCGTAGAAACATCCCATATCTTGATTGTCTTGTCGTCTGAGGCAGAGCAGATGTATCTCGAGTCGGTAGACCAACTGATATCTGAGATTCCCTGCGTATGATCCTCTAAAGTTTGTTCGAATTCTCCCGTATGTCCGTTCCAGATCTTGATCGTCTTGTCTGCGGCTGTGATTACGGTCAACATTGGCGGTTGGGACACATCAAAATGATGAAACACACGACTCACAAGCACTAGCCAACCACTTTCCATCTGGCGAGAATTTTACGGAGGAGATGGCCTCTTGGTGCCCCTGCATTGAAGATCAATATCGATCGTTATCGACCGCAAACATCATGTCACCTCCAAGGTATATTTGAGGACGTAGTTTGGTTTCGGCTCTGTTCCTTGCATGAGAGGTGGTCTTCGAGCGAATGATGATGGAAAAGATGAGAAAATGGATCTACAAAGAGGCCAACGACCCCCCAAACACATTGCCATCTCATCTCACATCCTCTTTGACGATAACAAACTTGTAAAGGATGGCAGGGAAGCTCAAGATCAAGAACAGAGAGGGTGGATTTCTCATTGGCGTCATCGGAGATGAGGTAGAATGCATCGTCTCACACCCGCCAACATCCTCTTAACCTCGCCTCAGGACACCGTGACTGGTTTCCTGTTACCCGGAGTCGGTCAAGTCGATTCGAAGAGAAACAAGAACTACTTTGTCGTCTCTTCCAGTGAGTTCATTGGACATCTTCATCTCGAGGGAATGTCTTTCGATTGACGAGTTGAATAGAGACACCCATCACGGAGATAGAGAATGCTTTCAGAGGTGACTTCTCATCCTGACCTTTCATGTCTTCGACTCGTATTTCGTTCATCTTATATTTTGAAACGTCTATGAGACGACTCCAATGCATGTCTCTCGATCTTTCACGTGATTCTTGTCACTGAAAGAATATCAGCCATGACAACCCGTGACGATCTGGCCGTCATTCTCATCACCCAACACGTGAGTTCTTCACTTCTAAACCACTTCCTCCAACCCTCTCAATGTCCATCGCGATTCTAAATGACACAAATCAGATCGCCGAGGAGATCAGACATCTCATCAAAGACTACGACAAGCTAATCCCCACAATATTAGAGATCCCTTCGAAGGACCATCCTTACGACAAAGAGAAGGACACCGTCATGCAAAAGGTGAACGACATCCATGTGACCATCGCTGATCGAGATGCAGGTCCTCAGGATGCGTGGTACACAGTGAGGCCTCTTCTTACCAAATAAAATAGATCCAGAACATTTTATTTACCATTTCTCTCGGTAAGGCCTGAGCTCGAGCTCGAAGGTCCATGCGGAGGGATGTTGGCTGTGGAGGTGCCAGTATGTGTCTGCGATGCCTTCTGGATCGATACGGCCGTCGATGTCTTTGTTCTCAACGTCAATGACGCCGTCGATGATTACATGGGAGACGTGAACGCCTTGCGGTCCAAATTCTCTCGCAGTGGACTGTTAGTGTGTGAGAAGATGGAGACGTAGGATGAGAAGGGAGCTTAGGATATAGAGGATGAAAGTGGAGATGTAGGATGAGAAGGGAGCTGATGAATAGAGGATGAGAAAGATGGATGAGACGTACCTCGGCCAGAGCCCGTAGACCCCACTTGCCGATGGCAAAGCCTGCGAAACCAGCTGAACCCTTCTTCGATGCAGTGGCGCCAGTGAATATGACGGTCCCCTTCTTGTTCTTGACTTGGGCTGGTAATACCTGGTGATGTAATGAGCTGATGGAGACGTGAGATGGTGTTTACCTCTTGAACGGAGATCAAGGCACCGAGAGTCGAAGATCTCAGAGCACCTTCTACGTCGGCTGTCTTCAGATCGAGGATTCCTCCACGTGCAAAACCGGATGCATTATAGACGAGCACCTATATGACGTCAGTGAGGTTGCATTGTAATGAACTGACCTCTGGATCGCCCAACTGCTCCCTGATGTCTGAGAAAGCTTTTCTCAGTGAAGACTCCTGAGTTACGTCTGCGGAAAATGATGCAACCTTGCCTTGGAAACTGGGGATAGATTTGATCTCGTCTTCAATGGACTTGGATTTGGAGGCCGTGCGACCGACTAATGCAACCGAGAATCCTTCCCTCGCGAATCTGTGTGACGATCAGGATGTGCATCACGCAGGAGACGAACCTCAGAGACACGGCTCTACCGGTGCCAGGACCAACTCCGATGATGGCTGCTATCTTGCTCATGTTTTTGGTGTGTTGGTGTGTTGTTGGAACGCCTTCAATTTATGCCTCACAGATCTGGCAATTATTTCGGCGATATCGGAGGCTGATGCCGTCATCTTGATGAGGTTGATGTCCGAAGTCCGTCGGGCAATGGAAAGCCCGCTCGTCTGTGGAAGCG